ATAGATAAATTTCCTGAGCAAATAAAATGGTATGTGTAGCTCATATTTGTTGTGTGCATAATGGCAAGGAGACAGATGTCGGAGCGGGATTTATATAAAGGGGATGCTGATTAGTTGGGGGTGCGGGGGCAACGCCCCCGCGGTACGGTACAGGGGTATTTTTGTAAATATGTCCATATTAGGGTTATATAAATACTTAAGATGTAATCCTACTTCAATAATTGAAAAGAACGGCCGCTCGCTCTCGTGGATGTAGGCACATTGCCGAACCACGTAAATCTCTGTGTGTATTTTTTTTCTCCTGCTTTCTTAATTGTTTGATTCCTTACTATTCATCATAATTGCTGCACAATCACAACAATTGGTATCAGAGCTAGACTACGATGTCTGGGATTTTCTCTACAAAATTCGACATCATGAAGTTCGACGAAACTGGAAATTTCGGATTATGGTAGAGGAGGGTGAAGAACTTGTTAGTGCAGCAGGGCATGGTGAATGCATTATATGGAAAACAACCGGCAGGAATAGACGACATGGATTGGAAAGAATTGGAAGCGAAGGCTGTGGCGACTATTAGGCTTTGTCTGGCTGATGAAGTGATGTATCACGTCATGGATGAGGAATCACCGGCGGAAGTTTGGTTGAAACTGGAAAGTCGGTATATATCCAAGTCGTTGACGAACAAGCTCTATCTTAAGTAGAAACTATATGGTCTTAAGATGTCAGAGGGCTCGGATTTGACCCAACACATCAACGTGTTCAATCAGATCATCAGCGATCTGAAGCGAGTTGATGTGAAGTTCGAAGACGAAGACAAGGCGCTGATGTTGCTGAATTCCTTACCGGCGTCTCCTACGTACGAGAATTTGGTTACGACTCTGATGTGGGGGAAAGAAACCCTCGAATTGGAGGATGTCACAGGTGCTCTGTTAGGTTTTCATCAGCGGAAGAAAGCCAGTGATGAGGCTTCACAAGGTGAAGGGCTTGTGGTGAAAGGTAACCAGGAACGTGGAAGAAGCAAATCTCAGAATGGATCGGGTAACAATAAAGCCCGGTCCAAGTCGAGGAAGAAGAAGAAGGACGTCTCTGTCTCGTGTTACAAGTGCGGGAAAAAGGGGCACTTTAAACGGGACTGTCCAGAGAAAAAGAAAGGGGATTCAGAGAACAAAGAGGGTGCATCAAAGTCTGCAAACGTAGTGGAAGAAGAAGATTCAGAGAGTGGTGACGGAGATATGCTTTCTGTTTTATCTAGTTCAGATCGTTTAACAGATTCTTGGATTATGGATTCAGCATGTTCCTATCACATGACACCCAACAAAGATTGGTTTGACACCTACAGGTCAGTAAATTCTGGTTCTGTTCTGATGGGTAATGATGCATCTTGCAAAGTTGTTGGAATAGGAAATATTAGAATTAAGATGTTTGATGGTATGGTTAGAACGTTGTGTGATGTTAGACATGTACCGGATCTAAGGAAGAATTTGATTTCATTGGGCACTTTGGATTGTAATGGTTATAGTTACAAATCTATAAGTGGAGTAATGAAAGTAAGTAAAGGCATGCTGACAGTGATGAAGGGACAGAAAGTAGTAGGAAACATTTACAGACTGCTGGGTACTACAATTGTAGGTGGAGTTGCTGCTGTAGAGTCTGAATCAGATAATACAGTCTTGTGGCATATGCGGCTGGGTCATATGAGTGAGCGTGGGATGATAGAGCTTCATAAGAAAAATCTATTGAAGGGTGTCAAGACATGCAAGCTCAATTTTTGCAAATATTGTGTCCTTGGAAAACAGAATAGGGTGCAGTTCAAGACAGCCACACACAGGACAGAGGGGGTTCTCGACTATGTCCATACAGATGTTTGGGGACCAGTTAGCGTACTATCACGGGGAGGATACATGTATTTCGTGAGTTTCATTGATGATTACTCACGAAAGGTCTGGGTGTACTTCATGCGGCACAAGTCAGAAGCGTTTGCCAAGTTCAAGCTGTGGAAAGCTGAAGTAGAGAACCAGACAGGGAGGAAGATTAAATGCCTCAGGTCAGATAATGGTACTGAGTACACAGATTCAAAGTTCCAGGAGTTGTGTGAGCAGCATGGGATCAAGAGACACTTCACAGTCCGCAAGACACCACAACAAAATGGTGTAGCGGAAAGGATGAACAGAACGATAGCCGAGAAAGCTCGGTGTCTCAGGTTGAATGCAGGGCTTGCAAAGAATTTCTGGGCAGAGGCAGTGAATATGGCATGTTTCTTGATTAACAGATCACCGAGGGCAGCACTAGATGGGAAAGTATCAGAGAAGGTGTGGACAGGCAGTGAGGTAGACTACTCTGGTTTGAGAGTGTTTGGATGTCCAGCCTATGCACATGTTTCTACTGAGGAGAGGTCGAAGCTTGATGCGAAGTCTAGACAGTGTATCTTTCTGGGATATCAGAAAGGAGTGAAAGGCTTCAAGCTCTGGGATCCGAAGGCAAACAAGATGGTGATCAGTAGAGATGTGGTTTTTGATGAAAAAGCCATGTTGCAGCGTACTCAGGAAGAAGAGAAACAAGTACCAGAAAACTGTAGCACTAATGACCATGTGGTGCAGGTGGAGCTAGAGAATCATGGTAGAGAAGATGATGCTCAGCATGTAGAGCGTTCTATCTCAGGTGATCAACAACATCATAGTATAGCCACAGACAGGCCCAAACGCAATATCAAGCCACCTACCAGGTATGGTTTTGAAGATTTGGTTTCTTATGCGCTTATTACTAGTAACGGGGATCCTATAACTTTTAAGGAGGCAGTACAAAGCCAAGAGAAAAGTAGATGGATGGGTGCAACGGTGGAGGAGATGGAGTCTGTGCATAAGAACCAGACGTGGGAGTTGGTGGAACTTCTCAAGGGGAAGAGAGCAATAGGGTGCAAATGGGTGTATAAGAAGAAAAAAGCAGTATCAGAAAATGAGGGAAAAAAATTCAAGGCTCGGCTAGTAGCAAAGGGTTACTCACAGAGAAAAGGGGTTGACTATGATGAGATCTTCTCCCCCGTGGTCAGACACACTTCCATCAGGACAGTGTTGGCACTAGTAGCACATTCAGATATGCAGTTGGAGCAGATGGATGTAAAGACAGCTTTCCTTCATGGCGACTTGGAGGAACGGATTTACATGGTACAGCCAGAAGGGTTCAGTCTCCCTGGAGAGGAACATTTGGTCTGTAATTTGAAGAAATCACTTTATGGGCTGAAGCAGTCTCCGAGGCAGTGGTACAAACGATTTGACTCTTACATGATCCGAATTGGCTACAAAAGGTGTGAGTATGATTGTTGTGTCTATGTAAAAGGGCTTGATGATGATTCATTTATTTTTCTGTTACTTTATGTGGATGATATGTTGATTGCTGCCAAGAGTATGAGTGAGGTCAACAAGTTGAAGACTTTGTTGAGTAGAGAATTTGACATGAAGGATTTGGGTGCGGCCAAGAAGATTCTTGGGATGGAGATTCGCAGGGACAGAGCTTCCAGGAGATTATGGCTATCTCAGCATAGCTATGTTGAGAAGGTGTTGGACAGGTTCAGCATGAGTTATGCAAAATCAGTAAGTACACCTTTGGCGAATCATTTCAGATTGTCTACCGCTCAGTGCCCGAAGACAGATGATGAAGTTCATGACATGTCAAAGGTCCCATATGCTAGTGCAGTGGGGTGTTTGATGTATGCTATGGTTTGTACAAGACCAGATTTGGCACAAGCTGTCAGCGTGGTTAGCAAGTTTCTTTCAAATCCGGGTCGACAGCATTGGGATGCAGTCAAGTGGATTTTCAGATACTTGAGGGGCACTACAGACTATGGCATCAGGTTTAGCAGACAACAGAGTGACCCTTCAGTTATAGGATATGTAGATGCAGACTATGCAGGGGACTTGGATGACAGGAGGTCTACCACAGGTTATGTGTTTACTCTTGTGGGAGGACCTATTTGTTGAAAGTCTATGGTACAGCCTATAATTGCACTATCTACTACTGAGTCAGAGTATATGGCAGTAGCTGAGGCTGCCAAAGAGGCTTTGTAGCTTACAGGTTTAGTCAAGGAGCTGGGTGCCCAGCAAGGTGGAGTTCAATTGCATTGTGACAGTCAGAGTGCCATTTATTTGGCAAAGAACCAGGTGTATCATGCGAGGACCAAACATATAGATGTGAGGTTTCATAAGATCAGGGAACTGGTTTCTTCTGGTGAACTATTACTTGAGAAAGTTCACACTTCTGAGAATGCAGCAAACATGTTGACAAAGCCTGTTACTACAGACAAGTTCAAGCACTGCTTGGACTTGATTAATGTCTCTAGTTGCTAGATGGGAGATGCCTCAACTCAGCGTCTCCGGTGGAGTTCCCGAATACATGTCCTTTTTTTCTTCTTAAGGGGTGAATATTTGTCAAGGTGGAGATTGTTAGAGTATGTGTGGCTCATATATTGTTGTGTGCATAATGGCAAGGAGGCAGATGCCGGAACGGGGCGGAGCCCGTGATAGCATCTGCCTTGCGGGATTTATATAAAGGGGACGCTGATTAGTTGGGGGTGCGGGGGCAACGGCCCCGCGGTACGGTACAGGGATATTTTTGTAAATACGTCCATATTAGGATTATATAAATACTTAAGATGTAACCCTACTTCAATAATTAAAAAGAACGGTCGCTCGCTCTCGTGGATGTAGGCACATTGCCGAACCACGTAAATCTCTGTGTGTATTTTTTTCTCCTGCTTTCTTAATTGTTTGATTCCTTACTATTCACCATAATTGCTGCACAATCACAACAGTATCCCAAGATTAGAATGAATCTTCGAGTTAAATGAGTTCAAATACTGATAGGACGATATCAACACACACTCATACACAATAAGAAAAACTCATACACGACGACAAAGATGGCAAATATATACACAAACATATGCGAGCAAAGAATTTGGACAGACTGTCTAGTTTCCTAGAATTTGGAAATTAAAATTCGCATGTCTACACATTCTCACTATCCATTGGCAATGAATTTGGAATTTCCACACTGTCACTATCCATTGACATTGGATTAGATTTTGATCTAGTAATCATGCCCGTATGAGGATTTTGAGGGAGGGTGAGATCATTACCCCTACTAGGGTCTGAATTAAGATCACAAGGATTTAATTCATAAATACTATCTGATAACTCCTCATCCGTGTAAAACCCTCTATCTGAGGGTTCCTTTTCTTTGTACATACCCATTTCGTCATCCAAGGGATTACTTGAGTCTCTTCTAACAGCAAAGTGATGGTCAATGAAAAAAGTGGAATCTGAAGATGGCAGACACTGATCATTTAACAAGCATTGCTCTTCCTCACTGGTTTTTTTCAATTCTTCCATTTGAGAACCATGGCAAGGCCTATCAATATTAATAATCGCGTTCAAAACTGGGTTGGGGGATCGAATTCCTGAATTACCTTCAAAATTAGAGGGCTGCATTCCTTGAATACCATCAACCAAGGAATATTGTTGGACATTATCCACCAAACACTCATGCTGGGCTCCATCCACCAAACACTCATGCTGAGCAGCATCCACCAATCTTTCTTGCTGAGCATTATTTTCCTTCCCCGAAAAATCCCCTCTTTCCAAAACTGTGGACTGGCTTCCCTTATTTGGAACTATGGAAAGTGTAGACTTACCAAACGAGACCTCACTATTAGCCATATGATCTACCTCTAGAATCCCCGAATTAATGGGCCTCTTTCCTCCATTTAGTTGTATCCAAATACTATTCACTTGATTTACTTGATTGACTGGGATGTGCTATTTTGAAGAATCTGGATTCCGCTGAACTACCTTCTGATTTGTTTTAGTCTGCTGACCCTTAGATGTCTCTTGCAAATCTTGTGGGATCTTCCCCAGTCTCTGGTCTATCCTCTCCTTTTTCTTGACCTCAATTTTGGATGGCAAAGATCCTGCATCCTTTCCTTTTGAAGCAGTTTTCAAATATGTGGTCTTCTTCTTCCTGCATTCTGCATCTCCATGGCCTTGCTTTCTACAATTTTACAGAATTTTTTGCTACGTTCATACACTATTTTCTGCCATCTAGCACCCTCATCCCCCATATCAATCCATATTTTTGAAGGATTCTGAGCAAGCAAGTTAACTTTCCAACAGACCCTAGCCACCCCTGGCCTGGCTAAGGAAAGAGTAGCTTGGTCATAGGCAAGAACTCTGCCTATTGGCTTCGCCAATTGCTTTAAGAACGGTTTCTTGAAAAAATTTGAAGGAAGGTCCGGCAGTGACACCCACATTGGAACAATAGAGGGCTCTATTCCTGGAACAAATGAAGAGAACCACTTGAAAAATCTAAATAGGTAATCTTCAATCAAGGTGGCATCCTTTAACCAAGTTTTGACGTAATCCTCATGCAGCTGGAACCTTATCAATATGTGTCTTGGATCGATAGAACCAACTTCAAAATCTCCCTTGAGACTCCACTTTGATCTGATCACTTCCTTGATTACTCCTAATGAAGGTCTTCCATAAGCACATTTACCAATGAGAGAACCTCGCAAGGAGAGGCAAGAAGCTTGAATTTCTTCATTGGTGAAGTAGAAGGGAGACTCTCCTTCATAAAAGACAATCGGCTTCTCAATCTTGGGAATAGGTTGAGGATCAGTTATAGGATTCAATGAAGGTTTAAACAATGAAGCAAAGGTTGGGGATGTTTCTTTTGAGTTGTATGGATTCAAATCTGGCGGTTTTGGCCGTATTTGGGAATTGTTTGGTGAAGAACTCATGAAGAGAAAATTTATAGAGAGAAGGTAGAGCTTCTCTCTCTAAGTCGTATAGGTTCACAAACCTGCCACTTTTTGCTTCTCCTCCTCTGTAAGCTTCCGTGAGCAAACTAAATAAATCGAAAAAAAAAAAAAAAGATGAATGAAGTCTGTCCAAAATCAACCCATTATAGTGGTCATTACCGGTGAAGCAAACAAAAGTTGCCAACATAAACCACACAAGACTATCATTACCATGACTCTTTCGGATTTACAATGACACTAGATGATTTTCTTGAAGACAACGATTTATACAACCTCTCAGCATTACATGGTAAAAAGAGAGAGAATAGAAGAGTAAGAGAAGGATAAGACAGCAATGGAGAATAGAGAGAATAGATAGAAAAACATAGAGAGAAGATGAATTAAAGGAGAGTATTGAACGAAGTGAGAGAAGAGATAAATAGTTAGATGAAATAGATACTAGAGAGAGACAAAAAATTTAAAAAGATGTAGAAGAGGGAGACGGGAAGAGAGAGGAGAAAGAAAGATCTGATGATGTGATATAGAATAGAGAAGGATGGAAGATAGAGTTATTAGTGAAAAAGAGCGAACAAAGAAATAGTGGGTTGAAAGAGAGAGAAAATAATTGACGAGTAATATCATTTGCACATAAAAATCTGATTTAATAATTATAATTGAGGGAAAAGAGGCAAGACAGAGATAGTAAGGCGGAAAATAGAAAAGAGCAAACGAGGAAGAATAGATAGAGTAATTGAAGAAATGATATTTTTGCCATTAAAAATATAAAAAATAATAATTGTGGACCACACAATTCATATTTAGACTTGTAAAAGTCTGACACGATACGATTAACTGACACGAATTAAGTGGGTTTTGGTGAGACCTTAACAAGTTTGAGTAATAAACAGGTTGACCTATCAGACATGTTTAATAAATGGGTCGTGTTTGGGTAAAACTTGTCAACTCATTTACCTGTTTAAACAAGATTAATATAATAATAAATTAATAATTATTTAAAAAAAAATTAGCTAGATTGTTTTTTTTAGTAACCGCCACAGAAAATATATAAGCCATCTTTCCTTGATTTTGAACCCTAATTTTCTCTATTCTTGACATAAGCCTTCGACATTGTGTCTCCAACATGGTGGCTGACTGAAGTTCATCCTCCTCCTCCCTCTCTCTCTGGCGTAAATTAGCTTGACAGCAACTCAGCGAGCAACTGGAGTCAAGGGCCAGGTTCACTCTCTCCCCTACTTCGTGCAAGCTGACGACGAAGTGTTGAGCCAGATTCTGTCACTTGTTGCTTTGGATCCTGCTTGTAGATTGAAAAGGAAAAAAAAAAATGGTTAACAACTGAACCTGTAAGCCTGAAGCCAACTAAGCCTCCAGCCAACTGCACCTCCAGCAGCCTAAAGCTTTGATTTCAAGACCTTCATGGGACATACCAAATACTTTTTTGGGGGTATTGGACACAAAAAATACTTATGAATCACTGAATCAAAATTTTTGATACTACATTTGTGTATGTAATTGTTAAATGGGTCTAATGGGTTGGGTTTTAAAAGGTTTTCGTGTTAATCTGATCTTACTCAATTCGATTCGTTTAATTAAAGAGGTTAAACGAATCGTGTACGAGTAGATGTTTTTCACTCATTTATTAAATGTGTCGTATACTTACTGATTTTTCACCCATCACTAGTTTAATCCGACTTATAAACGTTTAGCCCGACACGTTTAACACTCCTACTCATATGATACAAGCACATGTCCTTAAAGATTTTAAAAATCCATCCTTGTATTTACTGACATAAAAATTTGTTAAACTATACAGGCTTCTAATTTTCATTTTTATTTCACATTTTAGCTCATTTACATCCTTCCCTATTCCACACCATTGAAGGTTATTTGTTTTTCACTGACATGTGTTTGAAAAATTAATCATTTTTAGAATAAATTTATTTTACTGATTTATTCCTTATGCACATTACCTCTCACATTTAAAAATAAGTACATAATTCAATTATGACTAGTGGATTAATTACGGTGAACCCGTGCAAAGTATTTTTTTTTAATTTGGTTAAAAAAAACACAAGTAAATGTTCAAAATATTTAACGTTATTAAAATATCACTGAGTAGTTAATTTATATCTATACTACTTATAAAAGTAGCTAACAATGAAAAAAATTTTATGTCCTCTTTTACCCTCAGTTAATACGATAAAGTCCATTATATCCCTCATACCCTTTTAATTTTTTGAATTAAATACATAAACCTCTCATATTCCATGATCTTCTTAAATTAATTACATTCACAAACATCTATATCTATACTACTTATATTTAATTTTTTACTGTCAATCATGTCCTATTGCATCATTTAACCTCCCTTAAATATTATATTATCTATCTATAATATATAATATATATCTATAATCTTTAATCTATATCTATATTTATATCTATCTATCCAAATAGAACAACTTTGTGGTTCACTGTGCTTTAATAAATTGTAGGTCAAAACCCTTCTCTTATATTTTTTTTTCTTTCATGTGCTCAAATGAATAATGTTATCGACATAGTAAAATATCTATACAAGTTCCGGAAAGTAAAGTAGAGATGTATTGCATATCAAAAGAGATCCCCATGGTATTACAAAGTATGAAAAACAAATATGTGGGAGGTGTGAGCAAGTAGCTACACCTCAGACAGATTTGTCAAAAGAAAGTTTCCATATGAAACTAATGATGAAACTGGGAAGTTACACAATACAGTTGGTTGGGAGTTGCAGTTTTTCAGAAATGGCGAGATTCAGCCGAGAGCTTTTAAATTTTAGATATGCGAGTCTGTCCCTTACAATTTGCAGCATGGCTTTGAAGATAGTGCTTGGGTCCTTTGCCTTGTTAGCGAAAATTCTGGTGTTTCTTTCCATCCATAGATAGTAGACAGCAGCTGAGAGACATAGCTTTTGAAGGACTGTGAATAATAACTTCCCTTTCCAGTGACATGCAGCCCATGAGACAAAATTAGTCCAAGGCATGCATTGCCAAGAAAAGTTAAAGTGTTGGGTGAGTAAGCTCCAAACTCTCTCAGAGTATTGGCACTCAAAGAACAAGTGAAAATAAGACTCAATATCTTCACCACATAACACACACTCCAGGTAATGGTGAGGGGCATAAACATGAATTCTATCCTTTGTTTTGAGCCTCTGCCTGATTACAATCCAAAGGATGAAACTTAGTCTAGGAACAGATTGACTATACCAGACAAGTCCATGCCAAGGGACCACCTCAGCCTTTGTTCTAAGATGTTCCCATGCAGATTTTGAAGAAAAGGAACTGTAAGGGGTAGAACCCTCCACTCAGGATTTCGGCTTGACCTGGGTTAACCCACGCGGGCGACTCCCCAGTAGCCTTTACCTCTCTTCGCCAATAGGACCCTTTCCTAAGGCAATCCCACATCGGAAGAGAGTCGTCTTCCCCCCTCGCATATAAGCCCTTGCACTCAAAGGAGGAGGTACCCACTAGGCACCTGATCAGGTCGCTAGTGGGTACCTCCTCCTTTGAGTGCAAGGGCTTATATGCGAGGGGGGAAGACGACTCTCTTCTGATGTGGGATTGCCTTAGGAAAGGGTCCTATTGGCGAAGAGAGGTAAAGGCTACTGGGGGGTCGCCCGCGTGGGTTAACCCAGGTCAAGCCGAAATCCTGAGTGGAGGGTTCTACCCCTTACAGGAACCATTGGAGATGAGGGACCACTTGACTTTGTCAAGAGCATTCTGATTTGGCAAATAAAGGGGCATGGAGTTTGAAATTTCCAAAGCTTCCCCTGATGGATGTGGTGGCCATTTCCATTGATTGTTATGAATGATGGTGCTGACTTTTGTTGCTCTTGAGGTGTTTATTGACTGGAGGATGCTTTGGTCATATCTCTGAAGCAAAGGCCCCAATGGATGCCAATTGTCAAGCCAAAGAAATGTGTCCTTTCCATTCCCAATTTTGTGGAGGAGAAAAGGTTTGAAGGCTTCCCTCATCTTAAGCAAATTAAGCCAATTCCATGAGCAGCATTGAGGAGTCTTGACACCCCAGAGAGATTTTCCTTTTAAANCCCTTGAGGTGTTTGTGGACTGGAGGATGCTCTGGTCATATCTCTTAAGCAAAGGCCCCAATGGATGCTAATTGTCAAGCCAAGGAAATGTGTCATTTCTATTCCCAATTTTGTGGAGGAGGAATGGTCTGAAGGCTTCCCTCATCTTAAGCAGATTGAGCCAATTCCATGAGCAGCATTGAGGAGTCTAGATATCCCAAAGTGATTTCCCTTTTAAATTGAAAAATGTGGATCCACTTGACCCAGAGGTTGTGTTTATCATGGAACAACTTCCATAGATGCTTGAAGAAGATGGTTGTATTCCATTCTTTGAGCCTTCTGATTCCTAGTCATCCTTCCTTATTTGGGAGGCATACATCATGCTAAGAGACTTTAGCAGCAGAGGTTCTCAAATCTATGTCTAACCATAAGAAGGCTCTCATTATCTGCTCCATCTTATCACAAGTTTGTTGTGGTATTGCCAAATGTGAGGCCCAAAAGATTTGAATGCTGCTGAGTATTGATGTTATAAGCTGAAGTCTTTATTGCTGGGAGTGGAGTCTTCCTGTGATGAGTAGGATGCCAAGGTATGTGATGGGCATTGAGCCTTCCATAAATCCCAGACTTTGAATAATCTGTATCTTCACTTCTGGAGGGACCATTGAGAAAAATATGTGACTTTTTGATGGATTGGCTTGAAGACCAGAAAGGGTTTGAAATTGTAGAAGTGATTCCTTGAGGATGTTCACAGAGTTCAGGTCTCCATGACAGAGAAGGAGGAGGTAATCTGCAAAGGTAAGTTGCGCAAGTTTGAGTTGTTTGCACCTCCAGTGGTATTTGAAATTTTTATTTTTGTGCACTTGTCTCTGAATACTCAAGTGTAAGACCTCCATGGCTATAACAAACAGGTAAGGGGATGGTGGGTCCCCTTGCCTTAGACCCCTCTCACTTGAGAAGAAACCAACTAATTCACCATTGATATTAACAGAGAATTTAGGAGTGGTGATACAGATTCTGATCCATTTTATGAAAACAGCTGGAAACTTAAAAGCTCCCAGTGTATCCAATATGAAATCCCAATCAATGGTATCAAAGGCTTTCATCAAGTCAACCTTTATTGCACATCTGGATGGCCCCTTGTTCCTGTGATAGTTTCTTAGCAATTCTTGCGTTAGGAGGATGTTGTCAGTAATATACCTGCCAGGGACAAAAGCAGTCTGATTTGGGCTAGTGATGTCTTGCAGAACATATTTGTATCTGTTTGCAAGCACTTTAGAGTTCACTTTGTATAATATGTTGCAATAGGAGATTGGTCTAAAATCACCCATAGTGGATGGTTTGGAGACTTTAGGAACGAGAGTAATGAGAGTGTTGTTCCATTCTCTAAGGAATTTATCTCTAGGGAAGAATTCTTTGACTGCACCAATGAGATCATTATCAATAACATTCCAGGCTTTCTTAAAAAAAATAGGCATTGAACCCATCTGGCCCAGGGGCCTTCATGCTATCAATTGAGAAGAATGCATCCTTGATTTCCTCAGTTGTTACCTCCTTTACCATTTCAATTGCTTGATTTTCAGCAATAGTGTTTTGAACAAGTGAGCTTAAGTACTGTTGTCTCTCAGTTCTATTGACAGTGTGGGAATCTTTCTTCAATAGGTGTTGAAAGAAGTTTATAGCCTCCCTCTTTATCTCCTCTTTTATTTCAGCAGTGGTTCCATCCATCCTCTTTAACGAAAGATTTTTCTTCCTATTTCTTCTGTTATTCATAGCTTTGAAAAAATATGAGGTGTTTTGATCCCCCTCCTTAAGCCAATGGACCCTTGTTTTTTGTTTGTAGAAACCTTCCTTAATCTGAGCAGCTCTTAAATAGTTTGCAATCAGTAGCTTTTCCTTTTGCCTTAGCCTTATATCAGAAGGGTCATGATCAAGATCTCTTTGACAGTTTTCAAGAGCACTCTTTGCTTCCTTGGATCTCATTGAGATGTCACCAATCTCCTTGCATTTCTCTTTGAAGATGGATTTAAGCCTTTTCAATTTGGAGCTGATTTGGAATTGCAAGGTGCCTTGTATGCCTTCATTCCAAACTTGGATTACAGTGGGGATAAAGTCCTCTCTGTCAGCAAGAAAATTGAAGAATCTGAAAGAGGATTTCCTTCTACTAGCCACTGTGACTAGTTTGATGAGTGAAGGGCAATGATCAGAGACTCCAAGTGGAAGGTGTTCTACTTCTGAATATGGGAATTTGACATTCCATTCCTCATTAATAAGCACCCTATCCAACTTCCTAGCCACATTGTTACTTTTCCATGTGTAAAGCAATCCTGAGTATCTCAGCTTAATGAGCTCTGAGTTTTGAATGCAATCTTCAAAGTCCCTCATGGATTGATTCCATCTGCAAGGTTGTCCCTTGTGTTCCTGGCATTGAAGTCCCCAAGAAGTTTTCAGGGATCATTCTTGAAATTGCAAGCTTCATGGCATATGTTTCCCCAAGGCTTCTCCTTGTGTGGTCCTCATTGGCTCCATAGACAAATGAGCAAAAGAAACTGGTCTTACTTTCATAGTGTAATACCTTGCAGTGTATAATTTGATCAGTTTCTGAAAGCTTCTCAAGCCTCACATTTCCTGGGTTCCAAGCAATCCAGATTTTCCCCAAGTCATGACTGTCATAGTTGTTAGTGAACTCCCAGTTTCTGAACATGCGGTTCATAATATTTTTATTTACAGGTCTAACTCTAGTTTCAACAACACCTATGAAGTCAAGGTGTTGTTCAAAAAAAAGTTTCCACACCTCTTCTTGTCTGGAGGGGCTATTTAGCCCTCTCACGTTCCAACACGCAAATCTGATCATGAGGAGCAGTGTTTCCTGAGGTTAGAGTGCCTAGGCACTTTGACTTTTGATTGCTCAATGGACTTTTTCTTGGCCTTTTTCTTCTTGGAGCTCATATTAGTGGGAACATCTGCACTTTCTATTGGCTGTTTCAGCTCCACTACAATTTGGCCCTCCTCAAGACAGTAGAATTTATTTGGAGAAGTGATGGACACAAAATTAGATTAAGTATGATTGTTGCTGCTTTGGTGAGATTTAGATACCTGTGGTTTTTGTTGTGGAATGGGAAATGCCTCCTGAACTTTCTCATTGCAGCTTCTCTTGCACGTTTCAGCTGCAGTTGTAGGCTACTGCTCTTTTGGTGTACTGACTGTCTCCATAGGGGGGGTCTATAATGACTGTGGAGACAATGTTCTTCCCCTTATCAATTGGAGCTGGATCCACATCCTTTCCATTAGTTGTTTCTTGGATCTTCTGCTTCTGTTTCCACTCAGTTCTTACCTTTGGACATGAGGCATCATTGTGACCAAAGATTTTGCAGAAACTACATGATTTGGGCCTCCATTGGCACTCCACTTTGAGCTCTATGGTTTCTAATACCCCATTGATTTCCACTCTTAGGTCAAATGAGACAATGAGTTGGTTTCCTGCATTAAGCTCAATGCAGATTCTAGCATGACTTAGCCTTCTTGTTGATGCAGTGAGTGAATCAGCATAGAGTGGCTTCCCTATGGCACTTGCAATGTAGCTCAATCCCTCTTCGTTCCAGAACTGAAAGGGAATTTTGTGAATGTTAACCCAAAGGGGGACTGTGGAGTGATCATTCTTGATAAGGGCTATATCTGGCTGTCATTTCCTAATGATGAGGGGTCTGCCTGAGAATAACCATGGCCCTGCTTCAACAACCTTCAATCTTGAAGCATCATCCATAAATTTGAAAAAATAAAAGCCTCTCTCATTTGCAAACACCTCAAGAAGTCCCATTTTGTCCCATATTCTGTGTGCAATGAAGTTGACTGTGGAATATGGCAGTCTTTTCTCAATGAAATAGCCAACTAACATGTTCGGCCATTCCAAACAACCTCTGTTTGCAACCTCACTAGGGGAGTGCACCACTAATCTATTGTTTTCCTTGAGTGGTTCAAAAAATTTCAGTTTCATTACCTGAGATTTTGGGCTAGTTTAGCCTTCGATGTGTCCCGCATGACCTTGCTTCAAAACTTGGCTCCAAGTTGGGGTTGGAAGATTTGGGACTCTGTTTCCCTGATGGTTATTAACCATCTGGTTGTCATTTGGGGCAGGTGGCTTTCCTTTGGCCCTTAGATTATCAGGGTTATGATTTGCACTTGACACCTGTTGGGCCTTGGGATTAGTGCAAGGCTGAGGATTGATGGCTCTTGTAATCTCAGCCTCGTTCAAATGGATGACTCCCTCTTCGTTGCTACAAGAGATCTGAGTTTCCTTTGTGTAGATGAGATCTGATGAGGTGGGTTTGTTACCACCTTGAACCTCAACAACCCCAGGTTCAGAACAAGTATTTGATTCCTCTGTGTGGGTTTTAGTAGCATTAACTGCTTTTCCTTCGACATTGAGATCCCCTGCATTAATGGCTGGAAATGTTGTTTGGTTTGATGATGACTGGACCAAAGCCATGTGGGTGTGGGTGTGGGTGTGGGTCAAGTGGAGACGGGAAGGTGTTGTTAGTGGAGGCTATTGAGAGCTGTTGGGGTTTTGGGGCTGTTGAGGGCTTACAAAAAAGAAGGGAAATGTGAGTGTATGATTGCAGGTGGTGTGTTCTATACAAGTTGTTTGGTCAATAATGAGTTATTTTTCATTAACCGTCCCAATATGGTACATTGGAGATGACATGCCAAAAATTTTAGAAGTTTTTATAATTTACAATGCACACTAGCATACATTTTGTACATTTTACCTCGTACAATTTGAAGTCAATTTAAATTAGTTGTGTAATTAATTATTTTTTTATTTAAATGGGCTTGTGAAGGTTGTTAAAGAAGTTCTCAAAGCATATGAAGTCAATTACTTTTGAAGGATCACAACATTCTTCTTTCATTTACTAATTTTGTTCTTGATAAGATTAACTTTTTTGCTCATAAAAAAATAGTAGAGTATCATTGTTTCTTTTCATTGTTTACATAAGATGAAGGGATTGCTAATATTCATTGTTTTTGACACAAGATTCTGGGGCGGGGGGGATTTGAAAAGAGATTAAGAAGGAAATTTTATGGAGGAAATTTGTTAGATTATTTTATTTTGATGGTTGTAATCAACTATAAATTTGATGTACTAAGTTATTCAAGCATAAATATTTTTGTTTGTGTGTAAGGTTTCAATAAATGTGAATTTTGTTTGGGGATATATGAATGAGTATATCATGTATATGATAGGTAGAACTTTGAATACAAGTATAGAAATAAAAAAAAATTGTGGAGAATTGAAAATTCGTATAATGAAGCACTTTTGCAACGAGAAAAATTTGACACTACAAGTATTGTCCATGTTTTAGCGACGGAATCTTATTGTTGCTGAGATAATTTAGTTTATTTCCATTTTTTCTGCAATCAAACTATTACTATCGAAAATGCTTCAGCAACACTCCCTTACCTTCAGATGATTTACTCAAGTTTGCTTTTCAGATTAGTGTGTCTGCATGCCTACGAAATTTGTGTGTAGATTGTATATAGTGAGACAAAAAGAAATATTTTAAGATTTGTTGAGTAATGCTGTCTCCATGAATCGCACAATAGAGAGTCACGATGAATTGCATAAGAGAGAGATTATCTATAAAAAAATTTGAGCAATGCTATGCAACCCAAATTTAAGATCTCAAATGGCATCTCAAATCAATAAGGACGATTGAATGAGTGAGATACCATTTGGGATTCAAAGTCGGGTTAACATAGCATTTTCAAAAAAATTATAGTTTGAAACTGATCAATTACTCTTACCTTTTTATCAGTCTTCCTCACCCGAGGCTTTGCCTATCAGTGGGATAGCATCTACATTCATCTGTACGTGACAATCTTACACATGCTATAATCCAAACAAGAAAGAAAAAAAAAGAAATATGTACATGAGGTGTCAAAGGATACTTGCGTATTGGTTTTCCTCTACTAAACATTCCACGGAAAATGTTTATATATTTTTTTATTTGTAAATTAATTTATCATTTAATTTTTTGGATCCATTTGTATCACACAATAGAAACTACATTTGCCAACACCTACTCGACATTCTACATAACTAACAATAAAAAATATAAATTAAATTAACAACTTAAATTGATACACGTGCAACAATTAGTATATTTAAATATAAGTAATGAGATAGGTCATTAAATCTAAATAATTTAGATTGCCAGTGTGTTTTTTAGGTCAGAAACTTAAACAGAACGCACTATTATATTAATATGGATTTGTTATAAATTAACAGAATTGGTGATGAGACATGAAACTAAACTGCATGATGCTAGATTGATAAAAAAAAATGGGACTAAAAATATGAATCAAATGATCTCACATTACTATAATAATAAAATTTAAACTTCCAATGTTTTAAAGTGGGACTAATAACAAAAATTATGGTAATGCAACATTATTTGGTTCCTATTTTTGTTTTTCTTTTTTAGTTAAAAAAGGTTGTCAGGGAGACCAAATGTAACATCCTTAATACATTATCTTGAAGTTCTCACTTGCGATAGAATGTTCAATTTGTGTCATACTTACTAACTTACAATGCTTAAATCTGTCACCACAGCATCACCAAGGGCAACATCACCAAGGGCAAGTTGGACATCCAGCCCTTCTAATGATTTCTAGTTCATAAAAACTACTATTGCATACGAGTTCGAACTCATGATCAACGGAGGAAGGGGAACTATCACCCTCTACTAAAGTCAACTAAGCTACCACATTATTTATAGGTCAATCTAGCATTACTCGAAAAAATTATCTCCCAAGTTAATATTTCTAAAAGACCAAAACACCCTTGTAATCCACATGGCCAAACCCGACCCATCAAACATGTCCCCCCAACCTCTCTTCTCTTGGATGTCTACACACTGAGCCCACTCTTTGCATCAGCACCGCCGTACAACTCAGGAGAAAACATCTCTCCGTTCTACTCTCTCTCTCTCTCGCTCTCTCTCACAGCTTGACGACTTGATGCAGCATTTGGATTTTGTTTGTTTGCATAGGTTTTGTTTTTCTTTGATCACAAATGTTTCATTTCTTTGATGGGTTACTTGCAAATTGCACCCCAAAAGGTTTAGGCAGTAAATTGACAACGGTTAATTTTAGGTGCACATTAATACAAATTTTTATCTTTGATGATACAAATTAAAAATTTTAATATTTGGGGGTGTAAATTGAGATTTGAACGATCTTTTAGAATGTAATTTGTAATTGACCTTTCTTTGATTGATTACTACTGTTAATCTGGTAGTTTTTACCCATTGACATGTGGGTGTTCTTTTGGATCAAAGAATACTCTTGTTATAACACATCCAAAGAAATCTCCAGTATTGTTATGGATGATAGTGTTAGTATTTGCAATGCTATCATCAAGGGTCAGTGTCATGATTTTAGCATTGATTGATCTCAAATTCACTACTTGCATCATGAAAACCTAAAACCTTTAGCAATAGCTGAGAAACTTTGCTGTTAATTTTAAATTTGAGTTTCAAACGCATTTGCTCAAGTTTATTTTAGCGTATTTCTGGGTTGAATCTGCCTGTAATCTCACACAAATTATTCTCCGATTTCAATGCAGAGATCTGGAAGTGGATGGTTTGTAGCACTATTAAGCAGTCATGTTAATGGAAGTTCAATGATGAAATATTCTTTTTTAAAGAGAGGAGGGGTAATATTTCTTCAATCTTGAGGACCCTGTTAAGAGTTTACAATTCAATCTGGTATACTAGTGGCCCGAAGGACTTGGGTCTCTCTCTTGGGCGGGGCATCAAGTGTTTGTATCTTTACCGATTAACCAATTTCTAAACGCTGGAGTAGAGCCTAAAGAGATACCACTTCCTCATGAATTTCTCTTGAATCGGGATCTTTTGGCTCAATTTTGTCCCAATTTTGCTGAGGGAGCAACCCCGTTGCTCCAATGTCGCCTTACCTCTTTGTCTTGGTTATTCCAACTTTACCTAGGCTTTTGGAGAGAGCGGTGCAATAAGGCCATTTCAAGTATCATGTTCAATGTCAGAAGGTAAAGATCTCTCATCTCTGTCTTGCGGATGATTGACTCTTTTTTTGTAAAGGAGAAAAATGGGGTCCATTTCCATCATTAAGGATTATCTTAACTACTTCAAAGTAATGTCTGGGCTCTCTCCTAACCCGGACAAAAGTCAGAGAATGACTTGTGGGGTAGCAATGAATTTGAAAAGGCAAATGATAGCCATCTTGGATTATAAAGAAGGAACTTTACCATTGAAATACCTGGGAGTTCCACTTATTTCTTCAAGACTAGATATAACAGTTTTTTTCCCTAGGATTATTAGGCTATATTACATTCTTATTATGCTTAGTTTCTGCTCAGTGGCTGATAAAACAATGCTTGAATGCTTACTATTACTCTAGCATGAGGAGTTTTTGAATTTTCAGTCTACATCAAAGCTTCACTGTGAATAACAACTCACATAATTCTTTGTTGCCAGTGCATATTCTTGAACGACTGCCTAAATTTCCCTTATCTGTTGATTGCTCAACTTATTTATATATCTTGGCCATGGAAAGATTTGCTTCCTTAAGATTTTTATTGTAAATCAAATCTTAGGTAGACAGAAGGTTAATCTACTGGTTTGGCCACTCCATCCACTGTGTGATGTTCTTCAACATAATAGTTTTCAGTCTATATGAATATTATGTTTCATGTTGTAGCTCTATTTATCTGAGAGCTAATCAGTTGTAAATACAGTTCCAGATTTATGCCAATAAAACTTTTCTAGAGCAGATGGTGGCATGAAGTATGTAAACATTCTTAAAGAACTAGGCCAGCTAGATCAGGAGCCTTGGACGCTGTGTTGTTGGGTTCATAAAATGATTTCTCTTTCTTTTCTTTATTTACTTCCTCCCCTATGAGAAAAGGGACCACTATGATGTCCTTTTTCAAGAGAGCTCCGAGCTTGTTTAAACTAAATAATAAATAAAAAAATAATGAGGCTATTTGGATCTAATTAGTTGGCCTAATAGTTTGAACCAATCAACTACTATCAGTTGTTTGACCATGTAACTCTTAAAATGTTAGGATGCACTGCAAAACTACTGACACTAAGAGATAATTCAAGAAATTAGGTCCAAATAGAATTATTCATAACTTTTGAGAAAATTATTTCCACACCCCCTATATTGTCATTACTCTAAGGACATCTCTTACCTTATTTGAAACTTCATTATACCTCCTATTAGCATTGTCAGCCAAATGCTTGATTTTTCCATTTTACTCCCTAAATCATATTCTTATGTGTATTCATTGATACAAAAAATTTGTTCGTCGGTAGAAAATAGACGTCATTATGAGCTAAGGAGTCCTGGATAGAGCAATGAGTAAGACATGTCCACTAGTTGGTTGGTGGTGGGGCCTTTCAATGCTTAAGTTAGCTTTGGGTTAGATATGATAGTGTGTTCTTTGAGAATTAGTGGACCTACCTTAAATCTGTGGTTCTATCACCTGGGCTTGGCGAGGGATAATCAAGTTATTCACAATAGACACTGAATCTATGGGTCCTTGTTAGATGACTTGTGCTTCATCCAATCAGGTGTCATGCTCGACAACATCTTGACCCCTATCCAAAACATGGAACGGTCAGCCTGTTGAATGGCTGGTATCCTTTTAATATTAGTTTTTGAGTTTATCTCTACCACCGGTATTACCATCAGTTGGTACGTTCTTCCCTATTATCAAAAAAGATGTTCTATACACGTATATAAACGACTCAAACAAATTCTTAATTTTTTTTTTCTTGGTGCTACTTCTACCATTTCAAGATTCTTAATTCTATCTTTTCGGTTGTTATGACTTACTAATCTTAATGTCTACATTTTAACCACACTTATAAAGGAATATTATTCTTATGAAGGGGAAACAAGAAATGTGGCCATGCTTGATAGGTGGAGAAAGAAACATGCTCTATAGTAGGCTCCCATTAGTTAACATTCAACATAGTTGAAATCTAACATTTGATCATGATCCATTGGCACATATGTATCATTGAGAACAGACATTGATTTCGAAAAGTAGCCATCAAGCAACAACGTCAACTGATTTAAAGTTTTTGATGTCCATGTATTTCGACTCCCGAAGTTTCCTTTCATCTGAAATTAATTTTGCAAACCTGGAAGCATAAGAAAAAATATGATTAGTCTAGGTGGGCACTAAATCTCTACATTTTTAAAGTTAAAGAGTTAAACGCTATCAAATACAAAGCATTTATACGTCTTGAGAGCTTCCATATTGGTTCCACCATCTTCAACTGGTTCGTTTTGGCCGGTGTCCATATTCACCCGAGAAATTGGTTTCTTCAACAGCTTTTCACCAACTTTCACAAGGTTTTCTAAGTTCTCTTTTGTGGACACATTGACAGATGATAGGTTCCCGCTTAACGTGTCATCCTGCAGGTTTTGCAGTTAATAACAACTTTAGGGAATTTCGAAGTGTTTAAAATCTTGTAAACTTAGGTCGTGTGTAAATGCCTATGTGAACTATTTCACATGCTATATTGCAATGATGTCTTTTATAGTGTGTTTGGTAGGATGAATGAAAAAATAAAGGAAATAAACTTTCATCATGAAAGAAGGAATTACTCTCTGCTTTTTGGTTTGTGCGATTTATGAAAAGTTGGGAGAATAAATTTTTCACTATTTGGTAGGGAAAGAAAAATACAAAATCAACTTTACTACAATACCGTTGTCTATTTGCCAACATGAGTTGTTTTTATATTTTTTTACTGATATAATCTAAAAAAAAAATAGAAGAACACAAGTGATTGAATAATGTATTTGGTGGCAACTCCAATGAAAATTAATGTCACTTGACACCCGTTACAAATTTGGTCATTATGAGGACAATATATTGTGAACATATCTTAGGAAGGATATCAAAATTCAAAGGGCATTATAGTAAATTACATCAGATCAACCTACACTCCTCATCCTCTCTCTTCAAATTTCCTCCCAAAATCGGGATGATGAAAAATGGTGGGTGAGATGGGCACACTTTCCATCCACTTTTCCCTTCCATTCTGTCCAAACCAAACGGTGGAAAGTTTTTCTTTCCCTCTTATTTTCCTCCCTTCATTTTCATTCATCCATATTTCCATCGTACCAAATGACCTGTTAAAGTTTGACAAAATAACTTAGGAATCGGGGCTTCCTTGATGTAGGGTATATGGCACATGAATCCTTAGGAGAGTTTACATAAGGCACATAAATAATGACAATATATTCCCTTTTTTGGTTCATTTCAAGCTAAAAAGGTTAAAGATATTCGTAAATGTATAATTTAAAACCTACATGTACTAATGTAAACATTTTTCTTAGGTAAATTAGGTGTCACAATACAAATAAATGTCTCAAGGAATTCTTGTACTGTTTATCAAATGTCAAGAACCCCCTCATATTTTATCAGAACTCAAGGTGTTAAGAGTAATACATCTTACAATATATTATAAAAATTCATGATTCAAGAAAGTTATACACTCCATGTTCAGCAAATGATTATAGTTTCTCTAAGATAACATTAAATGAGACTAAAAATTATCGAGTGATGTCAAAAATATAAGACAGATTTTTTTTTTGTTCATGTTAACAAGACCTATTTAAATTTAAATTTTTCCTTTTCTCTAAATATGTCTAATGGAATTAAACCATCACTTCCATCGGTCAGAAACTTTAGTCCTTGATCATTGACTAGACTGTGTACGTTATGCATTGAGAAACAATTTCTGCTAAAAGTTACAGAAACAAAAGAGTAGAGCCTTAAGCGTACTTGGATTCGAAGATAGTTATTCTCTGAGCGTAGTGCTTCAAAAACCACATTATTGTGGAAATCAACCATGTCTGCACTTGCTTGATTATAGGCATCTATTAATGGAGTAGATCCATCGTTAAATAACCACCCTATAAGTCCCCACTTGGAAGCCGTTTTTGCATTGTACTTATGTTCATTCTTTGCGGAGCCTGTCCCTATTGAGATTACTAAGAAACGACCATAGTCCATGGGCTTGATTGGGAAGAACTCCGGGTTCTTCTTGAACACTTGCTTGGTTACTTCGCTGATAGCAACCAGTGTCTGGAATTTATGCATAGAAGATACGGTAAGTCAGCTATTATAATTATACTTATCGTTCTTAATAAGTCATGTGCTATGCACTAAAGTAATTAGTTACCGGGTTATTGGCAGCCACACCACCATCAATAAGGTTAAATTCTTGTTCATTCCCTTTTGCATCTGTGTTCTTAAAACAATAGGCAGGAAAAAAAACGGGCGCTGCCGACGTGCCGATGCATATATCTGATAGTAGGGCATCCTTGAGAGGGTTATTTTTCAACTACAATAACCAACCCACTGCCATTAGTAGCCAAACCTAACAGCAACAGAATGATTGACATTTGACTGTGATTTGATAAGTAGATATGGAGGAGAAAGAATCTAGCTATGCTAGAATGCAAATATTAGTATCTTGGAGTAAAACGCCCAATGCACATAATCAATTGGGCTACAGTTCTCTCTCTCTCTCCCACACACACATGCAGTCATGCACGGGGGAGAGAGAGAGAGTGAGAGAGAGAGAGAGCACCTCGTATGAGCTAAAGATAGTAGGCTGGAGATTTTGTATGTCGAATGCCGGAATTACAACACTAGTCAAAGTCTGGTGCAACCTCGTGCCATTTAGTATGCCCCTTATCAGCTTGTGAAGATATTCCCCACTATATTGAGGTCCAGTTAAAGCCTTGAATAACTTTATGATCCAGGCAAATGGTCCTCTGTGATTTTGAAGATTCAAGAGAGAAAGAAAAACTAAGAATTACATAACCATGAATATATAAATGACAGTGTGCTGTGCCCCCACCTTATCTGCATAGTATTAGTTGACATTAAACCCATGAACCACTTATTCTATTTTACCTGGTTTGGGGGAAAATTTTAGGAGAGTGCTGAAGATAGAAAGGAACTATTTCATTTGCAGCATATAAAGGCCGACTGTTTTCATTTGGTGCTGTCAGCATGGCCGTTAGAAGACCACCTGTACTCGTTCCTGCAATCACATCAAAGTAATCTGCAATCCTTGCGTCCGGACCATCTTGCTCCTACACCACCGGGATGTAGATTTCAATATTTGCACACACGCATTAAGCCATATTGAGTAAGTTTAAATATGCTTATACCAGGCCTTCAAGTTCTTATTGGTCATACAAGTTCTTTGAAATGAAAGATTACCTGAAGTTGTGATTCTAAGTATTCGAGGATAACTCCAGGGATGATTCCTCTTACTCCTCCCCCATCAATACTAAGAATAGTTATAAGATCCCCATCAGTTGGTGGTTGCATATTTATGCTTAATGTTTTTTTCTCCATAATGTAATAGTAAAAAAACAAAATGTGTACAATGTTTGAAAACGTCACAATTTAGTAAGCACTGAGAGAGAGAGAGAGTTTGCAATGTTTCAGAAAGAGCCGAATGATTAGAAATTATCAAAACAGAGAACTTTTTATAAGCCTTTCGTCAATCATTGGCTCTACTTATTTATTCAAATTTATTGGATGCAACTACAAAAATTGACTTTGATTTTGGGATTTATGGATGGTGGCTTTGGCTTGAAAGTTCACTTCACCAGGGAGAGGCTGAAATGGTCCTTTCTGAATATGACAGCTCTTTCTTAAGATAATGCATGCATTTTCCTGGCCATGGAACCTATATTTTTTGTTTTGGGGTGGGGTGTATATAAGTTAAGAGAGATCTTCCTACCAACTTTAAAAATAGCAATCCTTTTCCTTTAAGTAGTTAAAAGATTCAACAGTCTTTAAGAAATAGAACTCCTATATGTCATGTATGGAATATCTACGGTTTACAGATGAATAAAAGATTGTATCATATTGAAGAGGTCAGGTCTATTCATTGAGACATTTAGAAAATCCCAAAATTTAATGGTAATACAATTGAGAGAATGATAGGATAATATAACGTGATAATGGAAATATACCATCTCTTTAGCAGCCAGCTTGTACAGAAATTTTGTGATTGATCTCAGATTGTTTATTTACTTAATTTTTACTTTCTTTAAGCTCAGATGACAAGATGAAACCTGCAGCATCAACTGATAGCTGGGTGCCCCGAATGTACCAATTTTAAGGAGGGAAGCATGGTGTCACAGTTTGTCAGCAGCCCACATTTGATTCCGCAGATGTGATCTTCGCAGTTGTGGGTTCTGAGTGAGATTATGCATAGCAGTAAGAAGGGTTTATCAACAACAATTGTGACGCAGCAGTGATGATAGGGGTACTAATTGTGGCCAATTTGTATTACAAACTGATTATGCCATCAGGTCAGCCGTTTGCAATACTTTTTAAACTCTTTTCTGTTCTGTTTGATATTTTGGGTGGTATTGTAATTTTATGTGCTATAAGTAATTTTTAACTACGAGATTTCTTGTTTATAAAATTATTCGGTAGCTCTCGTAATACTCGCTTTAGTATTCTAGAAATCAACAGCTATCGAAGAACTTTGGCCTGGCATTTTCTGTGACAACCAATAGTTCACGATTTCGGTGTTATTTCGAGTTTACCACGAGAACTCATTCAAAAAGGCTAGCCAAGTTGAAGTCATCTAGGGTTGGTGCTCCTACCCATATAGATAATACCCCTCTTTGATATGAGACTTGATACAAGCCAATTCAGGTTGTTATAATCACTCCCTTTATCCCCTTACACCCCCACGAGGGCCCATAACCCATTACAAATGGCACGATCGGCATATGGACATCTCCATAAACACTAATCAGAGTCTACCCTGTCATATGCGTGGGTCGACTTTGATAACATCATGTGGTAATCACGGGAAATCGACCGAAAATTGAATAGTCAAGGAAATGTTATTTGGTGTCGTCACTCTGATAAGAATTGATGCAGAACGTGATTAATTAAGTTAGCAGAATTATGTTGATTTAATCTTTAACTGTTAACTAGAAAGTAGGAGAGGAGTTGCAGAAGACTTAGTCTGTAGTAGTTACTTTTATTTAGGAATTAGTTGCTACTTTATAGGCATTGTGGTTATGGTTTTAGGTTATAAATAAAGGGTGTAATCAGCCGTTTAATGATATGAGAATTGCAGAGTATTTCTTCCATTTTGAATTGATAAAGCTGTAGCTTTTTTTCTTCTCTCTGTTTTTTACTCTGTATTCAAACTCTTGGTGCCTTTGTCTCTCTTATTTCCAACAGTTTGTGGTATCAGAGCCCAGGTCTGATCCAATTGGGCTTATTTTTGTACCGCTTTCGAGATCAAGTGCAGTAGCAATAGCAGGACATCTCTTGTGCAGCTGAGGTGTTTGTGAAAAGGCTTCAAAAAGGAAGAATCATGAATTCTCTCAATGTATCACAAAACCAGTCTTTAGTGCCAATTTTCAATGGAGAGAACTACGAGTTCTGGAGCATTAAGATGAAGACTTTTTTCATCTCACAAGACCTATGGGAGCTTGTTGAATCTGGCTATGTAGATACAGCAGCTGAGGTGAGGGAGCTTCGTAAGAAGGATGCGAAGGCCCTGCTTGTTTTACAACAAGCTGTGACGGAGGCTATTTTTCCCCGTCTTGCAAATGCTGCCAAATCGAAGGATGCATGGGAAATTTTGAGGCAGGAGTTCCATGGAGATAGCAAGGTAACGATGGTGAAACTCCAAATGTTTCGTCGGGAATTCGAAACACTCCTTATGAAAGGTAATGAATCGGTGCAAGATTACATTACTAGAGTGTCTATCATAGTAAATCAAATGAAAACATTTGGTGAGAATATTTCTGATCAAAAAGTAGTCGAGAAGATTTTACGAAGTCTTCCTTCTAAGTGGGATCATGTAGTTACTGCTATTGAAGAATCTAAGGATATGAATACTTATTCTTTGAATGATTTAATGGGGTCTCTTTTAGCACATGAAGGTAGGATGAACAGGGCTGAAAATAAGAATCTGGAACAGGCATTTCAGTCGAATGTGGATCTTTCCAAAGAAAAATTTGGTGAAGGTGGTTCTGGATATACAGGAAGAGGCCGAGGCACTTATTGTGGTCGTGGTCGTGGTCGTGGACGAGGATACAACCAAGCTGGTCGGGGTTATCAAAATAGTGGTAGAGGCAACAAAAGGCAGGACCATCAAGACAAGCAATGCTATTCGTGTAAGCAATATGGGCACATTTCACCAAATTGCCCAAACAAGGCTCAGCAGAAAGCCAACTTTGCTAAAGCAGAACAAGAGGAAGGTAACCTGTTTCTTACATGCCTAGAGTCAAAAGCAAGTATGGGTGATATGTGGCTCTTGGACAGCGGCTGTAGTAACCATATGACAGGGGAGAAAAGTCTCTTCCGTAGCATAGACGAATCTGCAAAATCAAAAGTTCGACTGGGTGATAACAAGCAACTCCAAATTGAAGGCAAGGGAACTATTGGAGCTAAATTCAAATCAGGTATTAAACGATCTATTCATGACGTTTATTATTCTCCTGATTTAGCCCACAATTTGTTAAGTGTCGGTCAATTAGTTGAAAAAGGATATTCAATGTTGTTTGAAAATAATATGTGCGAAATTAAAAGAAAAGGGGTATCCGATAAACCTCTCGTTCGGATTCCCATGACTAAGAATAGGATGTTTCCCCTTGATCTTTCGTGTTTGAATGAGTGTGCATTGGTTGCTAATGTTAAAGACGATTCTAGACTTTGGCATTTACGATACGGTCACTTGAATTTTAATGGGCTGAAGTTGTTAAATCAGAAGCATATGGTGTTTGGTTTGCCCTCAATCCAATGCATTGATGAAGTCTGTGAAGGCTGCATTTATGGGAAGCAACATAGGTTACCATTTCCTGTCGGCAAAGCTTGGAGAGCCAAGAAGCCTCTTGAAATTGTTCATGCTGATATATGTGGCCCAACAAGGACCTTATCCTTCAATAAGAGTAGATATTTTTTACTCTTTACGGATGATTATACTCGTATGAGTTGGGTGTATTTTCTTTCTTACAAATCAGAAGCTTATGAAAAGTTTCAGGAGTTCAAAGCTTTTGCGGAAAAGGAAAGTGGGCAGGTCATAAAAGTTCTTCGCACTGATAGAGGGGGAGAGTTCTTATCCAATGAGTTCACCTATTTTTGCAAGAAAAATGGGATTCAAAGACAGCTAACAGTGAGAAAATCCCCAGAACAGAATGGTGTTGTCAAAAGGAAGAACCGAATGGTGGTGGAGATGGCTAGAAGCATGCTAAATGAGAAAGGACTGCCCAATGAATTCTGGGCTGAAGCAATAGCTACATCCGTATTTCTTCTCAACATATCTCCAACTAAGGTTGTCCGAAACATGACTCCCTATGAAGCATGGTGGAACCGAAAACCCAATGTAAGTCATCTAAAGATTTTTGGTAGCATTGCTTATTCTCTGATTGATTCTAATGACCGTTCTAAGCTTGATAAAAAGAGCGAGAAATGTATCTTTGTTGGGTATAGCGGTGAAACCAAGGGTTATCGGTTGTATAATCCAGAAAATGGGAAGCTCATTATTCGCCGAGATGTTGTATTCGATGAAAATAGTTTCTGGAACTAGAAAGAAGAACAAAATCAGCAAGTGCCTTTTGAGGATATAGTCGAGCCGACACAAGCAACAGAGAATCAAGTGTCACCACAGAGTTCTCCATCATCAAACTCATCGGGAAGGTCTACTTCAAGAGAATTAAATAATGAAGGCAGCGACAACTCAGATTCTGCACCTGATTCTGATACCCCTCCTCGTAAGTATCGATCTTTAGCAGAAATTTATGAATCATGCACTTTTGCTTTGTTAAGTGCAGAACCTGTTAACTATGAAGAAGCACAAGGGAAAGAAGAATGGGAGCACTCTATGCAAGAGGAAATTATTGCAATCGAAAAAAATGGCACGTGGGAGTTAGTAGACTTGCCATGTGAGAAGAAAGTGATTGGCGTCAAATGGATTTACAAGGTCAAATGCAATCCAGACGGAACCGTGCAAAAGTATAAAGCAAGGCTCGTTGCCAAGGGGTATGTGCAACAACAAGGTACTGATTTTATTGAGAACTTTTCTCCAGTAGCAAGATTTGAGACGGTTCGAATTGTTTTGGCTGTAGCTGCTCAACATAAATGGCCTGTATTTCAGTTTGATGTTAAGTCTGCATTTCTAAATGGTTTTTTGGAAGAGGATGTGTATGTGGCACAACCACAGGGGTTTATAGTCAAAGGTCAAGAGGAGAAAGTTTACAAGCTTAAGAAGGCATTGTACGGACTCAAGCAAGCTCCAAGAGCTTGGTATAGCAGGTTGGATACTTATCTTCATCAAAATGGGTATC